AGAAGGGAGCACACCCTGGCTGAGTACAAGCCCGTCTCCTCCTCCACCTCGAGGCGCACCACACCGTGTCCGGCCACCCTCAGCTCACAAAAGACATCGACTACAAGACCAACCCACAAGTCAAGCCGCCCTATTCCTACGCCACCCTCATCTGCATGGCGATGGAAGCCAGCAAGGAGCCCAAAATCACCCTCTCTGCCATTTACAAGTGGATTAATGACAACTCCTGCTACTTCCGACATGCCAACGCCACCTGGCAGGTACGAGATCTGGCGACTTCTTGCCTCGTCCCGTCTCCTCATACGGTTGGGAAGGGCTTTCCACGCCCTCCATCGGGCAAGGCAAGGTCCTGGATCCCACTGGGAGGGCAGCGGCACCAGCAGCTGCTGGGGAAGGGCTGGAATGAGAACGAGCAGAAATGCCACGGCTGTGAGAGCGGCAGAGGGAAGGAGTCGTTGTTGGGGAGAACTCGAGGCTATTTTTGGAGCAGGGAAGTACCCACTGGGGTGCTGCCTGCGACTCTGGATTCCCTCAGGGCTGAGCAAAAAGGAAATCTCCAGGCTGAGCATCTCTGGGTGCTGAGGACCAGGAGTGTGAGAGCGAGATGTCACTTGTTGGATAAATCCCTCACTGGGGTATCCATGTTCCGGGTGCCTCTTTTGGATTCTTTTTTTTCCTTTTTTTCTTTTTTCTTTTTTCTTTTCTCTTTTTTCTCTTTTTTTCCTTTCTCGTTTCCTTTTTCCTTTTTTCCCTTCTTTATTCCCTTCTTTTTTCCTTTCTTTTTTCCCTTTCTTTTTTCCTTTCTCTTTCTTCCTTTCTTTTTTCTTTCTTTTTTTCTTCCTTTTTTCCTTTCTTTTTTTCTTTGCTTTTTTTTCCCTTTCTTTTTTCCCCTTTCTTTTTTTCCCCCTTTCTTTCTCTTCGAGGCTGTCTACTCATCTCCTACCCCAATTCCCGTATATCAAGACAGTCTGCAAAGCTCATGCCACCCATTCTCCGGGGGGAGACAAATATATTCCTGGGGGAGCTGAGTCCTTTGCAGAGGACCCAACACACCCAAGGAGCTACAGCCCACAGGAGGGGTTTGGGGAGTGGGTGGAGGTGTGTGCGTGTACGTCTTTTTCAACAGCTCTAAGCATTCAAGACTTGGTTTTCCTGTTGGGCACTATGGATTATGGATGAATAAGCATAAAGATTTCCAGGCAACATTAAAAAAAACCCACTCCTCTACCATATCCAATCTCTTAATACAGTCTTGGATTTGTGGAGCCAATGCTGGGTTATTTCCCCAATAACTGAGTTTCCTTTCTGATTATTCACATCACTCGAGGAACATTCAGGCTTTCAGAACAGCTCGAAGGGAGCAAAAACTCTTATTTTTTTCTTCTCCCCTCGCAGCTCATTTGAGTGGCGACTGATGAAGATGTGGATTTCACACCGAGCTTCCCCAGGCCAGGAGGCACCTCTGGGGACAATTGGAGTGGGGTTACATCAGTGTAAAGACCACCCTCTTCCTCCTTAGCCATGAAAGAAGATCTGACCTCCTCAGCCTTGTTTTTTTCTCTCTTTTATGTCTAGAAGTCTATCCGGTGCAACCTCTCCTTCAACAAGTGCTTCATCAAGGTGCCCCAGGAGAAAGGCGAGCCAGGGAGAGGTGGGTTTTGGAAGCTTGACCCCCCAATATGCCGACCGGCTCCAGAATGGCGCCTTCAAAAAGCGAAGGAGGCCCCCAGTGCAAATTCCCCCGGCCTTCAGCAAACAAGCACAGCAAGAAGCACCAGCCCGGCCACTTCAGCTTGCACCTCCAGTAACATCCTCACCATCAACGCGGAGTCGCAGCAGCTACTGAAAGAATTTGAAGAATTCACCGGAGAGCAGAACTGGGAACCAGCGGATGGCAAAGCAGGGCAGAAGCGCAAGGAGCCCTCACCCAAGCGACCGGCCAAGGTGTCTCGGCTTTCCAGCTCAGCCTTGCTGACCCAGGAGGAGCTAACCGAGCTGGGATGGCTGAAAGGCGACTTTAACTGGGAAGCCATCCTTGACACCAACCTCAGCGGAGACTTCTCCACTTTTGGGGATCTGGAGCTCACACCTCCGATCAACCCTGCAACAAGCGACCTGGATGTGATGGTCCACGGTCACCACATAGAATGTCCCCGGAGGCAGAAGCAGGTCCTCACCGAATCCAACCCGAACAACCTGGACTATGACGAAACCTTCCTGGCCACTTCTTTTCTGCAGCATCTCTGGGACGAAGAAAAGGTTTCAAAAGAAACCTATTTTTTTAGCACTAGCATTTCCTAATAGTGGGGGATAGGGGGAATGCAGTTTGGGAGCTGGACTGGGTTTGTCTGACAGGGTTTGGGGAGCAGGGGAGAGGCAATGAGGTGGCTCTTGGGAGAAGCTGCTGGAAGCTGCCCCGGCTCCACATCGGACCTGCCCGTCCACGATGGTGTTTGTGCCTGTGCCAGAACATATTTTAGAAGGAGGAGGGGGGAAAAAGAAGAAAAAGAAAAAAATTGCTGGGAAACCTGTAGTGGAGAGAGGAGTGAGATGGGAGAGAAATGTGGGAGTAAAGCTGAACCTGGGAAGGAGGGATGGGTGGCAGGAAGGCATCTTTAAGATGCAGTTGAATTTCTCATTACCCTATTGTTAAGAAAAGAAATGGATATTTTTGTTCCCCAAGGCAGGTCTGGGTGACCTGTGGCCGTGGGTGGTGAGTGAGCCTGCCCTGCCCTTGTCTCAGCCCACCAGCACTTGGCTCTATTTTCTCCTCCCCACGTGTGGCAGGTGCATACCCCGGCTCTGCCCTCCCTCCCGTGCGCTCG